GGAAATGGCGGAGCCCTCCACTGCCTGCTAGCCGCGGGGACCCGCTGTGCCCTGGTCCAACCGCCCACTCCCTCGCCTGTCCGCTCGCGCACAAATGGGCAACCACAGTCAACATGCAGCACCGCTTCCCCGCTGTCTCCTCCGTGGTCTCTCGCCTGGTGGCTCGCTCGGTCACTCACTAGGTCCAACCCTGCGCCTGGATTCCTCGCACCTGAGTCTGTCTGACCGAGACCTCCTGTGCAACCCCTCACCAGCCGCTGGTTTCGCCCCTTACTGGTCAGGCTGAAGAATTTGTTGTTAACGGACTTCCGAAAAGTTCAATTTTCCATGTTCTGGCTGTGTTTTCTGTTGCTAATATTTAGTTGTCTCTAAACTTGGTTGTGTGAGAAGGCTCGGCCCATCCACCTATGCCTTCATCTTGGCGGAAGTCTTTGAATTCTTGTTTCTTCATTCTTTTCTGTTTGGTTGTTTCTTTCTTACTTCTGGTCCACTCCATTGATTCGAGTCCCATTTTTCTTCCCATCACTATTGGTTCCCTGTGCATTTTGCTTCATTTCACTTAGTGTAGCCTTTATTTTTTCCTCAAATTTGCGACCAAAATCAACCAGTTCTGTGAGCATCCTAATGACCAGTGTTTAGAACTGTGCATCTGAGAGGTTGGCTATCTCTTGGTTGCTTGAAAGTATTGGCTCTGGGACTTTGATTTGTTCTTCAGTTTGAGCCATAATTTTTTGGTCTGGTTGTGCATGTTACATAGTGAGGGGCAGAGTCTTAGGTGTTCACCAGGGCAGGGCAACCCAGGTCGATGGGTTGTGATGCTGTGGGGGGCAGGGTCTGAGAGGGAACAATGGTGCTTGCTCCACTCTCTCTTGGATTTTAGTCCCCTCTGATGCTTTCCACAAGCCAGCACCTTTTCAATCAGTGCTTTTAGGCTTTATTTCCCATTCTTGGGCCCTGGGTTGTGTGGTCTGTCTTGCTGCCCACTTTTGTCAAGTTTATCTGCACACAAATATGTGAGCATGGTCTGCCTCTCACCACCTGCCCTCCCAGGTCTGGCAGCCATCTCCTCTTCCTGCCAGGACCCCTCTCCACCACCCACTGATTCCACCCCTCTTACTGGTCTAGTTGAATGGTGGTCAGACTTCCGTACAGTTCAGTTTTCTGTCTGTTGTGGTTGTGTTTTTGTTTCTAAATCATTGTTGTTCTTAATTTTGGCTGTGTGAGGAGGCACAGTGTTTCCACCTACACCTTCATCTTGGCCAGAAGTCCCTCTGTTTCCTTTTCATAATTTCTTTTGTCTATCTCTTATTAATAATCTTTATTCAGTGAGATGTCACTATCATACATTAATTCCTTAAATATGGTGTTCTTTAGCTCTTGGAAATAACTAAAACAAATTATGTAAAGTCTTTGTCTTATAAGTCTAACATCTGTGGGTCCTCAGGAACAATTTCTATTGGATTGCTTTTTTATTGTTTGGAGAGTATTTTCTTATTTCTACATATACCTCATAATTTTTTATTAAAAACCAAACGTATAAAATAATATAATGTGACAACTCTGGCAATCAGATCCACCTAACCCACCAACAGAATTTGTTGTATTTGCCACTTGTTAAAGTTGTTTGTCCAGTAACTTTTCTGAGCCAATTCTATAAAGTCTATATTTTTGTGATTTTTGTATCTCTATTTAGTTAGCTTACTGGGTCACTAATGATTGGACAGAATTTTTTTAACCACCTGGAGCCAGTAAATCTCCCAGACTTTGCTGTGAGTGGCTCTACATGGGTGTTGGGAAAGCCTTTAAAACTCAGTTGGTAACTCCATCCTAGCCTTCACTTCCTGCTTACATAGACTCTCAAGGTCAACCAGAAGTGAGGGCTTAGGGTCTTCTGAGGTCTTTCCTAAGCATACTAAAGCTCTTCCATGTAATACATGGCCTTCTAAACTACCAGGAATATGTCAGACCTTTTCAAAGCCCCATGCACAGTGCATTTCACCTGCTATTTCTTTAAAGCTTTTTCTTAGTCTATGTTTGTCCCAACTGTTAGCCATCACCTAAGGCATCTGAAAAGTTAAAACCTTGCCTTAATTATTTTTGACAATGCCCACTGTTGGGGAGGGGTTGGCATTGAGTAAGCTTTGAGTCAGTGTTGTATGTAAAGTCTTCCAGAAAACCACCAGACAGGTCAGATAATGACAGCTCTATAAGAATGAGGCTTTGAAAGGATTCCAGATGCATTCTGCCCCTCCTTGTGGCTGGAAAGCTGTACCAAGACCACGAGCTATTATTTTTTTAAGGCTATTGCACAGCTGGAAAGTGAGGAAGGAGGGGAACAAGAGCAAGTTAAAATGCCACAGAGCTCACTGTTTTAAGAGTCAACCATTTTTCTTTTTTGTTTGTTTAAGATTTTATTTATTTATTTTTAGAGGGAGGAAAAGGGAGGAAGAGAGGGAGAAAAACATCAATGGGTAGTTGCCTCTTGTGTACCCCCTACTAGGCACTTGGTCTACAACCCAGGCATGTGCCCTGACTGGGAATTGATCCAGGGACCCTTTGGTTCACAGGCCATCACTCAATCCACTGAGCCACACCGGCCAGGGAATTTTTCTTGAATAAATGATCCCTGAGTTATTGTAAGCCTTTGGTTAACCTCCACAGTTCTAAAAAAGTAAATTACAAAAATTTTTACCAATCTTTTCATCATATTTATGGAGTAGAAAATTCTTAAAAGTCTTTTTTGCCACATTTGCTGACATAACTTTTGTTATGCCAAAACCAATCAAAACCATGGCTAACTACAGAAGCACTAGTAGCCAGACACCAGCATCATGGAAATGTAGACTTAGGAGTTGTGAAATAAGATTAACAAAAAGCCTGTGTCTTCTGTGAAATTGCTTCATATAAGGCTCATTCAGAATAGCCACTAAATTCCTATACCTCTTCATCCTCCTTTAATTAAAACTGCTCTTCCTTAACACCAGCAACAACATAAATGAGAATAAGCGAACTCAATCTTATCACTAGTTACTGTTTTGTTTAATTACTAGAGACTGTTTTCTACTATTTCTCCTTCAAATACACCTTGACTCGGTTGTTATATTTCTGCAGAGAAATTTGGTCTACATTCCAAACAATCACCTTATAAACTTTTAAACCTAACAATTTGTTCATAAAGAATTAGTTATATGCAACTAATGGCTAAAACCAAATTGTAAAAACTAAGTGGTGTAAGCTGGTGGATTTTTGGAGAACTCTGAAGAAAATAACACTTAAGCTGGATTTTGAAGGATAAAATAAGAATTAAGAGAATGTGAGGAAGATTCTATAGCCAAAAGTTTCCAGTCTAGAATCAGCATAATACAATCTCACATGAGCGAACAGAATAATTGGCTTCAGCAGTGATTAATACTTAAATCTGGCTATAATTTTTAGCAAAGATAGGAATTCAACTTCTTTTCTGTTAGCAACAACATAAGAAAAGGGAGGTGGAAAGGAGTGGTTAAATAATCTGTGGTACTTCATGCTATAAAATGCATCCATCTAAGTTGTGTCTACCATGTATGAAGTGCTAGGTAAAAAAGATTGGTAACACTGGGCTTCTGCTATCAGGAAACTTACAAATTAGAGAAGAAGGGCAATATACAACACATTTCTCAAAAGAGTGGATCTTTTTTGGAAAACTTCTGTAACATGTACCTTGAATGATGATTTAAATATGTTCACTGGGTCTATAGTGAAGCATCTCATACAGGCCAGTCTGTTCTTCCTTAAATGTACAACTTATTGAACAGATTTAATTACATGACAATATTGATTCATAATTATCTTTTCTTTTAAGTATATTTTATTGATTATGCTATTACACTTGTCCTATTTTTTTTCTCCCCTATATCCCCCATCCACCCTGCACTCCCCTACTTTCCAGGATTCCTCCCCCCCACCTTAGTTCCTGTCCATGGGTTGTACATATAAGTTCTTTGGCTTCTCTATTTCCTATACTATTCTTAATCTTCTTCTGTCTCTTTTGTACCTACGATTTATGCTTCTTATTTTTAAATATATTTTATTGATTATGCTATTATAGTTGTCCCAGCCGCCTGCCCAGCCCCTCCTATTGGTCTTGATGAATATTTCTTCTTTAACTCCTTGGTTGTTGGATTTCCATACAGTTCAATTTTCTGTCAGTTCTGTCAGTTTTATTTTTAAATTTGTTGCTGTCCTTTTTGTTGTGCAAGGAGGCACAGTGTGTCTACCTACACCTCCATCTTGGCCAGAAGTCCTGGATCCATTTATGCTTCTTATTCCCTGTACCTTTTCCCCCATTCTCCCCACCTCCCTCTCCATTGATAACCCTCCATGTGATCTCCATTTTTGTGATTCTGTTTCTGTTGTAGTTGTTTGCTTAGTTTTTATTTTTAGGTTCAGCTGTTGGTAGTGGTTGTATTAGCTGTCATTTTGCTATTCATAATTTTTATCATCTTCTTTTTCTGAGATAAGTCCCTTTAAGATTTCATATAATAAGGGCTGGGTAATGATGAACTCCTTTAACTTGACCTTATCTGAGAAACACTTTATCTGCCCTTCCACTCTAAATGAGAGCTTTGCTGGATAGAGCCATCTTGGATGTAGGTCTTTGCCTTTCATGACTTGGAATGCTTCTTTGCAGGCTCTTCTTGCCTGTAAGTTTTCTTTTGAGAAATCAGCAGATAATATCATGGGAACTTCTTTGTGAGTAAATATCTCTTTCTCTTGCTACGTTTAAGATGCTCTCTTTATGCTTAATCTTAAGTAACTTAAAATGATGTGCCTTGGCATGTTCCTCCTTGGGTCCAATTTCTTTGGGACTCTCTGGGCTTCCTGGACTTCCTGGAAGTATATTTCCTTCTCCAGATTAGGAAATATTTTTCCTTCATTATTTATTCAAATAAGTTTTTAATTTCTTACTCTTCTTCATCTCCTTCTGGCACCCCTATGATTCAGGAATTGGAACATTTAAAGTTGTCCCGGAGGTTCCAAAGCCTTTCCTCATTTTTTTTTTGAATTCTTGTTTCTTCATCCTGTTCCAGTTGGATATCTATTTCTTCCTTTTGTTCCAGATCATTGATTGGAGTCTTGGTTTCCTTCCCTTCACTGTTGGTTTCCTGTACATTCTTTTTTTTATTTTACTTTGAATAGTTATTTCTTCCTTCATTTTGCAACAGAACTCAATTCTCTGGGCATCCTGATTACCAATATTTTGAACTCTGTAACAGGTAGATTGTCTATCTCCTTGTCACTTAGCTCTTTTTCTGGAATTTTGATCTATTATTTCATTTGGGTCATGTTTCTTTGTCTCAGTGCACCTGTTAAGTTGTAAGGGGGTGGAGCCTTAGGTATTTGCCAGGGCAGGGCAATCCTCTTTGCTGCATTGTGGCACTGTCTGTAGATGAAGGGTTAGAGAAGTTACAATGCTGCTCACTCTGTTCTAGCCCCACTTTCCAACAAACTCTCCTGTGACACTGGAAGTCTCTCCTGCTTTCACAACCCCCACAATATTTTACAACTAGAGGTTTTGAGTCTTTAGCTTCCCGGTGAGTCAGCCCCTCCTTGCCTGTGAGGTCCACTGCCTTGCCACGGGTCCTCTCCACCCAACCAGCTGTCTGTCTCTGCCCCTCTTACCTGTCTGTATGAGTGTTTATTTAACTGCTTAGTTGTTGGAGTTCCATGCAGTTTGCTCTTCTGACAGTTCTGGTTGTTTATTGTTTTTAAATTGGTTGTTATCCTTCTTTTGGTTGTTCAAGGAAGTGAAGCATTTCTACCTATGCCTCCATCTTGGCTGGAACTCCTTTGATTCATGAGGATCTTAACAACCATCCATTATGGAACCCATACTAGGAGGCAGTCACAATATACTTTATGCATGTTAGCTCGTTTTATGAATTAGGTTCAGAGGTGAACCTAAGAAAGAAATTGAGGTTCTGAGATGCCAAGATTGCTCAACTAGAAATAGGCAAACTCAGCATTCAATTCCAGGTCTGTTTGGCTTCCCACTATACTTCCCTCAATCATTATCATTTCCATAAATATCATGGGTACTTGAGGTGGCCCTCCTGTTGGTTGCTGAGTGTAATGGAAAAGCCTAACACAATAGTCAACAATAATATCCTACATCATGTGCACAATTAAGCAAAGCACTATGTGCTCTATCTGAAGCTCCTGGCCTCAAGGAATTTACAATATAATGGAGCAGGAGCTCTATACAAAATAAATTATATATAGCTAATGGACTTTGTACATGCCCAAATAAGCCAGTTTGAAAACATAAAAAGGAACAAAATTTCATTAACAAAAGCAGCCAAAACACCTCACAAAGAAAATTAAAAATTTGTGAAGCCTTTGTGAAGAAACGTAGAGAGCTTTTACAAGAAGATATAATAAAGAATGACTAGAAAGAGAACTACATTCTTAGATGGGAAGAAGACTCAATATTCTAAATATATTATCCACAACTTGTTAAATTTAAAGCAACTTGAACTACAGTTATTGAATCATTGTGATGTCAACACAGAAACAACTCTAAAATCCAACTTACAATGTATAGGGTATAATTAAGTCTATGGTAAAAGTGACATTTCAAATTAGTGAGGAAAGAATAGTCAATAAATTGCATAAAACAACTGACTGTATATTAGGGAAACACAAATTCCTATCTCACAAAAGACAAAAACAAATTCCAGGTGGATTAATGTTTTAAATATTAAAACAAAGTAAAGTAACAGGAGAAAAATAAGAGAATATTTGTATGTGAGGCTAAGAAAGGAAGCTTTGACTAAAATGACACTATGGTCCAATGTAATAAACGGATATTGACATGTTTGACTATGTAAGAAGCAAAAATGTCTGCAAAAGAATTTACACAGAAGAGAGAAAGAAAGGAAGAAAGGAAGAAAGAAAGAAAGAAAGAAAGAAAGAAAGAAAGAAAGAAAGAAAGAAAGAAAGAAAAGCTCCAGAGGAAATACTAAACAAATATATCATAGTCAAAGAAAACAACATATGCATTTAAAACCAAAAAAAAAAATTCCAGAAAAATATGTATGCATGTACTTATTGATTTTATTTTGTATTCATTAATTTTAAATATAAAAATACATTAAAAAAGAAAAGGTAAACAAATTAAATTATTGCAGTGGTTATTTTATGGAATGGTAAAAATATAGAGGCTTTTACAAGGATATTGTTTGCATTTCCACAGTGATCACACACTGCAAAAAAAACTATAAAAAACATTTCCAACCCTAACTGGTGTAGCTCAGTGGGTTGGGCATCATCCTGCAAACCAAAAGGTCACTGCTTCAATTCCTAGTCAGGGCACATGCCTGGGTTGCAGACCCGGTCTCCTGTTGGGGGCACACAAGAGGCAACCACACACTGATGTTTCTCTCCCTCTCTTTCTCCCTCCCTTCCTCTGAAAATAAATAAATAAATATATTTAATTTTTGTATACTAACAATGAATCAGCAGAAGCAGAAATCAAGGAAAAAATCCCATTCGATATAGCAAAAAGAAAAATAAAATATCTGGGAATAAATCTAACCAAGGAGGTAAAAGACCTGTATGCAGAAAACTACACACCACTGAAGAAAGAAATCAGGGAAGACACAAACAAATGGAAACATATACCATGTTCATGGATTGGAAGAATTAACATCAACAAAATGTCCATACTACCAAAAGCAATATACAGATTCAATACAATACCTATTAGAGTACCGATGGCATATTTCACAGACATAGGACAAACACTTCAAAAATTTATATGGAACCATAAACAACCCCAAATAGCAGCTGCACTTTTGAGAAAGAAGAACAAAGTAGGAGGGATCACAACACCTGATATCAAACTGTATTACAAGGCCACTGTAATCAAAACAGCCTGGTACTGGCATAAAAACAGGCACATAGACCAATGGAACAGAACAGAGAGTCAAGAAATCAACCGAACTCTCTACAGTCAATTAATATTCGACAAAGGGGGCAGTAACATAAAATGGAGTAAAGATAGCCTCTTCAACAACTAGTGTTGGGAGAACTAGACAGCTACGTGCAAAAAAAAATGAAACTTGAGCACCAACTTACACCATACACCAAAATAAATTCAAGGTGGATAAAAGACTTAAATATAAGCCGTGACACAATTAAAGTCCTAGAGGAGAACATTGGCAAGAAAATCTCAGATATTCCACGCAGTAACATTATTATCGATATGTCCCCTAGAGGAAGGAATATAAAGGAAAGAATAAACAAATGGGATCTCATCAAAATAAAAAGCTTCTGCATGGCTAAAGAAAACAGTACTAAATTAAAAGGACAACCAACTGTATGGGAAAACATATTTGCCAATGATACCACAGACAAAGGTTTAATCTCCAAAGTATACAAAGAACTTACAATACTCCACTCTAGGAAGACATCTAACCCAATTAAAAAATGGGAAAAGGACTTGAACAGACACTTCTACAAGGAGGACATACAGAAGATTCAAAGACACATGAAGAGATGCTCAATATCGTTAGCTATCAGAGAGATGCAAATGAAAACCACAATGAGATACCAGTTTACTCCAGTCAGAATAGCTATCATAAACAAAGCAACCAACAACAAATGTTGGAGAGGTTGTGGGGAAAAGGGGTCCTTAGTTCACTGTTGGTGGGATTGCAGACTGGTACAACCATTATGGAAAACGGTATGGAATTTTCTCAGAAGAATAAAAATCGACCTGCCTTTTGACCCAGCAATTCCACTGCTAGGATTATATCCTGAGAATCCTAAAACATCAATTTCAAAGAACCTATGCACCACAATGTTCATAGCAGCACAATTTACAGTAGCCAAGAGTTGGAAGCAACCTAGGTGCCTGTCAGTAAATGAATAGATCAAAAAATTGTGGTACATATACACAATGGAATTCTATGCAGCAGAGAGAAAGGAGCTACTACCTTTTGCAACAACATGGATGCAACTGGAAAGCATCATGCTGAGTGAAATAGGCCAGGCATTGAAGGACAAATACCATATGATCTCACCTTTAACAGGAAGCTAAACAACAAAACAAACAAGCAAACAGAATAAAAACAAAGACACTGAAATAGAGAACAAGTGGGCAGTGACCAGAAGGGAGAGGGAAGGGAATTTAAGGGGAAAAATGGGGAGGGATTTTGAGGAACAAGTATGAAAGACACAAGGATGAGGACTGGGGGGAAGGAAATGGGAGGGAGGTGGGGAGCATGGGGCAGGGAGGGCTGGGATGGGAGAAATAGACAGAAAACTGTACTTGAAAAATAACTAAATAAAATTTAAAAAAATAAATGTCAAAAGGAAAAATATTTAAATATATATTTATTTAGATTTTAAAGAACAACAAGTAAAAGATAACTTTTACTTATTTATAGGAGAACATCAATACTTAATAAGACACATTCTGAATTAGTGGGTATTTGAAAATTTCCAGCTTGTGGAATATTTACAAACTCTCTAGTGACCTCAGAAATAGGATAATTCAAAAATTAGTGACTTTCCTTTCTGAAAAGATCATCTCTAAAAAGCAATGACGGCAGATTGGCTAGTCAATGAAAGTAGTCATGAGGCCTGAAATCTTGTTTCAAAAGAAATGGACAATGATGACTTGTCCCATTTCTCCTTCCTAGAGATCCAGCTTCTCACCATTCTTTCTGTTCTGTCGTCCATGTTTTGACAAACTATTAAGGGAAGGATGGAAATATAAACACCTGTGGTGTTTTATATTACCTGCTGTGGTTTTTATTCTCAATTATCCTGTTTCCATAAAAATTAAGAAGAAAGAAAATGGAGGATGTAGAGGAAGAACAGAGGAGGAAGAAAGAGCAGGGAAAGAAGAAAAAGATTCTCAGCTCTTAATATTTCCAAAACTGAAAAGGAAAAATATTTTCCTCCCTGAAAAGAGAGTATATGGACAGCAAGAGCCGACATTAATGCTATAAATTGGGAGGAATGACTGGGGTTATAGGAGGTTCCCTGCTAGACTTGCTGGAGTTTCCACAGGCTGGAGGAAGGCAGAGAGTCAGAAGAAAGCAACCCAACTCATCACATTGTGCCCACTGGAAGGGGAGGAGTGATAGACTGTAGTGATGAGAAGATGCCCAGTAAATTGGGGATCCAAGGGCTTGCTTCCCAGGTAAAGTAAAGTCTAATCTAAGAGCTGCTCCCAATAGGACCACAGAGTGACGGTACAACAGGAGGGCTGGCAGCATGGTATGTTGGCCAGAGAGGCCTGGCATAGCCTCTCCAGGTTCCCAAAGCCTCACAATGGTTCAGAAAGTTTTTCTTGCCCCCAGCAGGGCCACAAAAGTGGCTGAGAAAGAACCAAAGCACCTGAAGGGACCCTGAGGTTTGAAGAAGAGTAAG